GATTTCAGAGGAAGGGAGAGGGAGAGAGAGAGAGAGAAACATCAATGATGAGAGTCGTCATTGATCGGCTGCCTCCTGCACACCTCCTACTAGGGATCAAGCCCGCAACCCGGGCATGTGCCCTGACCGGGAATCGAACCACGATCTCTTGGATCCTAGGTTGATGCTCAACCACTGAGCCACATCTGGCAGGGCTGGAATTATTTTTTAAAACTTCTCTTTCTGGTAGTCCATTATTGGAATATAAAAATGCAAACAATTTCTGAATATGAATTTTGTATCCCACTACTTTATTGAATTCATTTATTCCAATAGTGTTTTGTGTGCATGGACTCTTTAGGGCTCTCTGTATATAGTATGCCATCTGCAAATAACGGCAGTTTTACCTCACCCTTTCCAATTTGGATGCCTTTTATTTCTTGTCTGATGGCTGTGGCTAGGACTTCCAATAACATGCTGAATAAAAGTGGTGAAAGTGGACATCCTGATCTTGTTCCTGATCTTAAAGAGAAAGCTTACAGCTTTTCACCACTGAGTATGATATTAGCTGTGGGNACTGAATATGATATTAGCTGTGGGTTTGTCATATATGGCCTTCATTATGTTGAGGTATGTTCCCTCTATCCCAATTTGCTGAGTATTTATCATAAATAGAAGTTGGATTGTCAAATGCTTTTTCTGCATCTATTGATATGATCATAGGATTTTTATCTTTAATTTTATGTGATGTATCACATTGATTGATTTGTGGATTTGAACCAGACTTGGGTCTTGGGAATAAATCCCATTTGAACACGGTGTATGACCTTTTCAATGTATTGCTGGATCCGGTTTGTTAATATTTTGTTGAGGATTTTAGCATTTATGTTCATCAGGGATATTGGCCTATAATTTTCTTTCTTTCTTGTGTCTTTGTCTGGTTTTGGTAAGAGGGTAATACTGGCCTCACAAAATGAGCTTGGAGCCTTCCCTTCCTTCTCTTGACTATTTTGGAATAGTCTGAGGAGGGCAGGTGTTAGATCTTCTTTGAATGTTTGGTAAAATTCACCTGTGAAATCATCCGGTCCAGGACTTGTTTGTTGGGAGTTTTCTGATTACTGATTCAGTTTCATCAGCAGTAACCGGTCTGTTTAGATTTTGTTTCTTCTTGATTCAGTCTTGGAAGATTGTATGTTTCTAGGAATTTGTCCATTTCTTCCAGGTTGTCCAATTTGTTGGGATATTCATAGTATATCTTTATAATCTTTATAGTTCTGTGTGTATGTTGTCACTTCTTTCACTTCTGATTTTATTTGTGCCCCCTCTCTTTTTTCTTAATGAGTCTGGCTAGAAGCTTATCAGTTTTTAAAGAACCAACTCTTGGTTTCATTGATCTTTTCAATTCTTTTTCAGACTCTATTTTGTTAATTTCCACTCTGATCTTTATTATTTCCTTCCTTCTGTTCCCTTTGGGCTTTGGACTTTTTCTAGTTCCTTTAGGTGTAAGGTTAGATTCTTAAATTTGTTAAGATTTGTTTTGGGACCTAACATGTGGTCTATCTTG